TATTATATTTCTTTCAATTCAAAATATAAGTTAAATTCTATTGAAACGGTTGGTTTTTTTATAAAATAATATTAACTTTTGTCTAAATATTTAATGAGTTTTTTTTAAATTTTATCTCATATATTTTATTTTCTCTTTAATTTATGTATTACATCTTTTACCTATTCTTTTTATTAACAGAGGTATATTTTAAAAAATAAATATATGTCTTACATATTTATTATTTTGAATTGACCTTTTGTTTTTTTAAATAATATTTTTATATATTTATTACCCTCAACTTGTCTTATAAGAAAGAAGAGAAAAGAAAGCGAGGAGTATTTTTGATGGGGACTCGAGCCACCACGCTCAGAAATCCAAAGCAGAAGGGTCAGTTTACCTAACACGTTAAAAATTAAAAAAAAAAAGATAAAAAAAAAACACCTTTTAACGACTCGTTGACTAGTGGCTATCAGCTACCCACAACTACCGGTCACGCCACGCCTCGACCCGCACAGTCTGTTTCTATAATATTATTTCTTCATCTTACGTGTTCTCAGGGGTTCGCTTGACACGAGGAAAATGAAAGGGAAGGGAGGGGAGGAAAATTTTTATGTGGGTATATAAATATATGCTTCTTTTTGCATGGAATTTAGAAATACATGTTTTACAAAACTATACTACCTACAGCTTGTGTTAACTTAAGATATTTATTAGTTTTTAATGTGTCTTTGATCATTATTTAAACTCCAAAGTTAAATTATTAAACGATGAATAATTATATTATACAGTTTTACACACCTCTTTAGTCAAGGGAATATTTAATATATTATGTTAAGAGCTTGTGAGTTGTGACTTGAAAATTTAAGTTCTTGAGTAAATTTTTTTGAATATTTTTTTCTTAAGTACATATTTATAAATTCTTCTATGATAATATCCAACACAGACACGCACACATATATGTTTTATATTGTAAAATGTTACCTTGACTAATGAAAATACTTAAAATAATTAGTTTTTCAATTTTTGTCAAAAACATATTGAAATGATAATTATAAAAATTGAATAAATTGTCTCTCAGTCTCTCGATTTCATTTTAGGGCCTCCATTTTTTTGGCAAAAAAAATGTAGAATCACTATTGCGATAAATACTCGCAGCATGCTTATTAAGTACTCCAAACTCTCTCCGTTTTTGTGTGTGTAAGATTTTTTTTGGTAGCCTACCTACTTTACCGGAGTTTTGTTCTGACTATATCTGAATCCGACTCGTGTCACATATTTGACTGTGGTGGGTGAATCTCCTAAAAGAGACTTTTGCATACATTGAGACTGAAACTTAGATATTGTTTAAACAATATTAAACCGTTTACTAATTAGATCAACTCCTGTTGATTGCGCGTGTAAGCTTTTGTGTCCGCTTTCCCTTGCTTGCTCATCACATGGCTTTTGTTTTGGTAAAGGAAGAGGCCTAAGGCCAAAAACAAACCCAACTACATCAAACCGAGGCATCTTCTCCAAGACTTGTTTCCAACCTCCGTACACTAGCCTTATCCATTATTCCCTTTCAAACCGAGGCATCTTCCCTAAGATCTGAAACTCCCCCGCCGCCCCCCCCCCCCAACAAAAACCCCACCCCACCCCCCAACACCCAGAAAACCAAATCCAAAAAACCAAATCCCGTCTTAGCCATAATATCTGCAAAAGAATTAGAACTTCGCTTGATTTTGCAGACACGAACAGCTCACTCCTTCTCCATCAAAGAAAGAATTCCCCTATGGATTCCGTTACAGAACCCCTTCATCTCCTTACCCTTCAAACGCCGAGCTAGAATCTCAGAGTCTGTTTCTATAATGACTCTACGGAACCCTCTCAGCCCTCTAGCTAACTCCAGCCCTCTGAAAATGCCCCAGTTTTGAGAAAAGCCACAGACAGATCCACTCCCCATTTTCATCACGAAAGATTCCCCCACAACTCGCCACACCGGGCTCACCTCTACAGGATCCATCAGTGTTGAGCTCATCGGAAGTTCCCATACATCTACAGCCTCCCTCAACCCAGCACTCATACGTTCAATGACACCCTTCACTTCAGCAAATTCCGTCGCTTGAGACCAATTCAAAGCATGAAGCTTTTTCAGCTCTGAAAAGCCGGGCATTCCTCTGCGTCCACAAGTTCCAGCAGACCCCTCCAAAAAGAACACTCCATGGTATGTTTCTCATTTTCTGATCTGCTGCTCATCACATGTTGAACATTTTTCTTTACTTCTTTTTTAATTAAAATATTATTAGAAAATTAAAATTGAAATTTCAGATTTTTTTAACTCAAAGTATTTTCTTAATAATACTCAACACAGTAAAACTTCATGGCCAAGATTACGCCGAAATATAGTTTAGGATACTCATTGTTGCTAAAAAAATATTGTAAGAAATTTTTTTTTTGGTCAGCTTAAAAGAGGATTGTATAAAAATTAATTTAAGATGCTAAATGCTATGAAAAAAATATTGTACTAAAAGTATTCACTAGATCCAGTAGGTTTCTCGGGAAGCCTTTTCAACCATTTCTCTTTATCAAATTATATTATAATCACATAAGCAGAATTTTGTGCCAGTGTGAGCTTTTTATCTTGAAACAACCCACCTTTTCCTTTAAGTACAAATATGTTCAAGCATCTGTAATTACGTACATGATCTCTTTGTTTTTTGATGTCCAATTAAATTAGTGATTTATCCTGGAAGTTGGTTGGTGCTTCTCTTTTTCAGTTTGATTTTACAAGCCAGACTCTCTTCTTGCAGGTAAATATTATCTTTGGATAACCTTTGTTACGTTGATTCTTTAATGAATTTTTACCAAAAAAAATTATGAATATTAGAAAATTAAACATCAAAAGCAATCTGTTAGATGTTCTCACCATGTGGCTGTAAATTTGTATTAATTGGATTTGTGTGTGTTCAATCTGTGACAGTATAATCATGCCTGTTTCCTAACTTTCGTATTTTGACAAAATCGAAGAATTATGTCCAATCATTTTGATCTTGTAGATTAATCATATCAAAACATAACTACAAAAAATAAAATAAATACCATTTTCTGATCACCTTTCTTTTTGTTGACCGTCTCCTGAAATATTTTCGATCAAATTATATATTTTATTGGCTTTTAAATTAATTTTATCAAATATTATAATATTAAAATATTAAACATCAAATCTTTCAGACGCTTTTGTCATATTATGATGAATTTATATTACCTGAATATTTATTCTTGAATGAATCTGCGTTTCTTAACAAGTTTGGTTATTCAACTTTATTTTTTCCTCCTTCTGGTTCGTCAATAATTGCAATAATATCAGGCCAAAAAAATTGCAATAATGAATTTTTAAGATTTGAATTTTTTTAAAAAAATTTAATATATCGTATATTTGTACCAATTGAATGAATTGTTATTTGTTACTTTTATGCAGCAGGACATATCTTAATTTGAATTAAGAGTTACTGTGGAGGTTTGGCTCAAAAAAGAAACTTTATTATAATATTTGAGGTAAGTAACAAATATCATAATAACCCATTTAATCATTTATTTTATTTATATTTTATTTTTCTTATTATTTGTCATGAATATAGGAAGGAAATAATAGCTCAATCATCAAATAATAGATCAGGGTTCAACCGGAGTCAAACCAGTGGGTTAAATTAGGATTCAATAGGAGTTAGATCGGTCATATTAAAATAATATAATTTAATTAACAATAACAAAATATAATAATATTTATAAATAATAATCATTCAACAAAATATAAGAAATTATAAAAATAGTTCAAATGTTTAATTTTTTTTCCCAACAGTTTAAATATTTAATTGTATCAATTAAAATTATAAAAATACATATCTATTTTAAATGTTTAATTTTTCTAGTTATTTTTAAGTGTTTGAGACAAAAATCTGATGCATTTCATTAAAATATATATCTTTGTTCTTATTTTATTTTACTCTTTTTCCTCTCTTCTTCTTTCTCCCACGTGACTGGTCCTTATTTTCCTTTCTATGACCCACATCACAAGCAGCTTTCCTCTTTCTTCCTTGAACAACGAACAAGAACAACCAGTAAGCATAGTAGAATAGCAAACCTCCTAGAATACGCTTTACAGATTTCCAATTCTCTTTCTCAGCTAAATTTTTTTTTGACTTCCTCATTTTTCTTTCATTTGTCTATACTTCATCCATCCCATTTTTTCTATTATCTTCCTTCTTGCCTTCTAATATTTTAGTTTCTCTTCTCTCTCTCTCAGTTTTTCTCGTACAACTTCAACAACAAATAAGTCTCTATAGTGAAGCCTTGACTGTTGAATTATCTTTTTATCTTTCTTCCATGCTTTTTGGTTTCCACACTAAAGTGCTTTGTCATTTCATTTTTTAGCATATTCAGGAGTTCTCTCGTAGCAAGGATTGTTCTGCATTTCTCTCTCTATTTTTCCTCTTCCCATCCCTTGTTTTCTTGGTAAACCTTCTTCTTCTTTCCCACAGTTTATATATTTTTAGGAGGCAAAAGGTTTAAATTGGATAATCCATTCCAATCGGAGGTTACTTGGTTAAACCGGTTTGTGACCGGTTCATTTCATCTCTGGTCCAGCAAGCAAACCTGGAGCGGTTTATCAGTTTTTTGATTGAACGGGTTGATCCGAGCTGGTTTTTTTTCTTTTCTTATTCTTCATAAAAGAGCAAAGTAAAGAATAATGTGTTTGTTTACATTTGTATGCGTTAACCATGAATTACGTAGTTGTCCAATGTCTTTTGCATAGAAGTTCCCTTTAGACAACCGTAGTACTGCGCAGGGAATAACTTGATTTTTTGTGGCTTGTATTACATCTTTCTTCTGTCTTTGATATATTAAGACCGACATCACAATTACTTTGGGGCTCAAAGAAAGAACAGAATACTTTTATTTTTCTTCCCTCTTTAAGGAAATGACAACATAAAAGAAACCCAAATGAAAGGAAAGAACGATAGCATAGAAGAATCTCCTATATGTTCCAGCTACTGAGAGTAAATTTATATTAGTTGGATTTGTATTATTCAGATGTTGGTTCAATCGGTGAATTCTTAGATGGTCCTTTGTTTAATTTTTTAAAATATTAAAGAGTTTGACTAACTTCTTTGACTCATTTACATTTGTCTCTCATTTAATCTTTCTTATCTTGCGTCATTTATATTTACATTCAACCTTGCTTTATACGTACCGGCAGCAGTTTCAGTCATTCTCTACAACCGGCCTTTACTGTTCAAGCTTCTCAAATATCTTCAAGTTCATCTATCTGTCAAACAGGTATATATTCACTTAAAGATTCTTTGCTATGTTTTTGTTAAAAAAGATATTTTCTGTTTCAAAATAATATCATCTAGATATACTAGTATATCGAATTGTTGTTTGTTTCTTTATTCTTGCATCTGCGCGTGAGTTTGAACTTGAGAATAATTTATACTAATGGAATCTAATTATCTAAACTTTCAGAATATGAAAGAAGTTTTGGCAAAGAAGATGAAGAAGAATATTTTTGTTATTATCAGGCCAAAAAGATAGTGCCGTATTAAACACTGAATTTGTTAGATGCTTTTGATATCATACTGAATTTATGTTATTGAACGTGCTTTTCATTTAAATAAATTATTTTAATTTAACTCATCAAAATATTGAATAATTTTATTTTTGGTTTTAAATTATATATGTATTTATCAAACCACTGATGGTTATAAGAATAGTCTTGTTTTAGTTTTTACATCATGATCATATTAAAGTATAATTACAAAAATAAAATAAAATTTAATTTATGAACATCCCGTGCTAATCTTTTAAGAAGCTTGCGATCTTTTTAATAAAATAATATTTAATTTATTTGATTTTTTTTGGGTAAAAGGACAAAATGATATTAAGACTGAAAAAGATCACAATGTCTCTCAATTGGATTTGAGAGTCACTCAAGTGGATATTTCTGCATTATTTATCTAACTTTATTAGGATAATTGAGGTAAGTAACCAGTATCACAATAACCCATTTAGTGGAACTCCAATTTTTATTTATTTGATTTTTTTTATTATTTGCCATGAATATAATAAGAGAATAACATCTCAATCACCAAATGAATTGATACCTTTGTAAATGAGTAAAGAATAATTTATTTTTATCTTGTTAACTTTAATTTTTTTTATCCAAAGACTCAATTGTTTCATATATGTTAATAAGTTATCCTTTATAACTTGCTTTGTCACAAAAGATTACATATTTCTTTCTTTCTTTTGAATCTCAGAATAAATTTACAATAATGAATATATGTAGAAATCGAACTCTTCAAAATATATCATAGGTCTTATTAAATCACAATTTGTTTCTTTCTTGAAAGTGGTATACGAGGATTATTTCCATTTAAATGGTTTCTATAATTATGCATATAATAATCAACCTCCCATCTATTTAACCTAAACTATAAAGACTTCTCTTTTATTTTGGAAACCTATAGTGTCATTAGTTTCTTTTCCTGTCTAATTTGAGGTAATTAACTGAGCAAATATTTTATAATTCTTTTTATTTTATTTCAGTTTTTATGCTAAGCTTATGATTATACAATTAAAATTCATGGACATAAATACCCGAGGATTTTTCCACTTAAATGGCTTCTATAATATTATTTGAATAACAGTTTCTTAGATATTTAATTTCGTCTGGTAAAAATATACTTTAATTTGGAGCCAAGTTATACAATTTTGAGAAGGAAAATACCTAGTTTAAGTGTTCTTCAATCATACATAGTCATGTATTATATTTTTTTCATGTGGGTTTATAATTAAATGATAATATATTAAAAATAAGATATATGACTTTGTATTATTAGAAAATTTGATATAACGAATATAAAGGAATTTGATGTAAATATTGTCCGAGAAAGAAAATCTGAAATAATTTAAATATTGTTTAAGGAGAAATTTGTCCATTTTGTTATAATCCTCTGATCTTATATATAAGACTTATTTTGTAGAGTAATTTACATTATAAAATAAATCTTATATTTAAGAATTGAGGAGTATTATTTTTAAAGGTATTGATTAATTTACATTGTTGTCTATAATTTCTTCTAGTGTACTATAATTTACTTGAGAATTCCTGCTTTTCTTATACTCTCGTAATTAAATAGTTTCAGTTATTATCCTTCTGCATTGGTTTTTGGCTCAAAAGATATCAATATTATCACCGAATCCTTTGCCAGGTAATTATCAGATTATCATTTCTTTATTTTATATCTCCTTTAACTCTTATTTTTTTTTAATGAAACATCTCGTTTTGTTCCATTTCTATTAAGTAGCATGAGAATATTAGAACTAACACATTATTGATTTTGATGTTATTATTTAGATTTTATATTAATTGGCAAAAAAACAGAAAAATGAATACTTTTTACTTGATTTTATATTTATAATATGAGAGATGAGAGATGCATTGCAGTTTTTCCTCTCATATCATATTGGTAGGAGTTTATCTTTCTGTTACATAAATATTAATAATTACAAAAAAAATTTTAATCTTGAAATATGATGAAAAATAACTTTAAAATAGGACATCAGTGAATATTTCTAGTTTTAAATATAATGAAGTATAAAGTTATATTACATACAAATTCAAGTAAAGAATAATTTCTTGTCCTTTTTATTTTAATTTTGTTTATTTATTTAAAGCCTCATAGGTTCACACTCTTGTTTCTTTTCTTCTTTTTTCAGAAGCTGTTCTAATCATCATCCTTCTGCTTTGCTTGCCATTAATTCTGGTTCTCCCTTCAAAAACATCAAAATTATCTCAATTCATATTACAGGTAAATAACAGTATATAAGTTATTTATTTTACATGACGATAAATTATATTTCTTTTAACAAGAGAACAAAATTAGAAACAAGGTGTCGATGTGATCCTTTTTTTGGCAAAAAGGAATATCTTTTTTTTTTTTTGGTTTTTAGAGTCTATGATGAAAAATTTGTGTTAGCATTCTTTTATATGTCGTCTTATGATGTTTTGGGAAATATAGATAAAAAAAAAAGTAAAAATATGATTTTTCCTCGTTCTTCCGTCAGAATTCCACACGAAAAGATTTTGGTACTTATTTTCAATCAAATTAGTATGTTTTCTTAAGATATGATTCACCTTTAGTTTGTAGTTTATAAACGAGGTCTTATAAATAGGACCGGAGGTAGTATATATTTATTGTGTTGCGATATTTACATTTCTCTGCAAGTCGCTTTTGTTAATATTCAGAATCGTTTATTGCTTTCCTTGAACTCCTAAAATCGATGTCAATCAATATTTCATATTCGTATCAGCAGGTAAGTATCATTTTCTGACCGCCTTCCATCGTTTGCTTATCAGATACTGAAATATCACAGGTAAATATTATCTTGAAAACACTCCGTTCTATTTGGTTTTTAATCAAAATTTTGTTTGAAAATTAAAAATGAAATCTGATGAATTTCAAGACTTTAAATTTGAAAATTCATATGCATAATTTGTTTGCACTAATTGGGTGAATTGTTATTTACTATCTTTATGTAGTTGGGCATCTCTTAATTTGATTTGAGAATCACTCTGGACATTTCTGCATTAGTTGTCTAATTTCATTCGCACAAAGGTTATCAAATGGATTGAAAAATAAGAAGATTCTTATAATCTTGGATGATGTGTGGGAGTATCTAAACCTTGAAGATGTTGGCATTCCACTTGTTGAAGGTTGTCATATCTTGTTAACAACTCGCCTTCGCAATGTATGTGGCTCCATGGATTGTGAGACTATGATTGAACTACCTTTGATAACTAAGGAGGAAGCATGGGACTTATTCAAGAAGCATGCAAACCTATGTAATGATCCGTCAAATATGTTTGGTGATGTGGGAGAGAAAATTGTTGATGAGTGCAAGGGGTTGCCAATTGCAATTGTAGTGGTTGGAAGGTCCTTAAGGGGAAAAAATATTGAGGCGTGGGAATCAGCACTATGGAGACTAAAACACTTCCAACCGTTGAATGTTGGACAAGGTTTTGCAAGTGCTTATGCATGCCTGGAATTGAGTTATAGTAATTTGCCTAGTTCCACAGCCAAGTCGCTCCTCTTATTATGCTCTATGTTTCCTGAAGATCATGAAATCCACAAAGAAGATTTAATTCGATTTGGCATGAGGACACTTGAACTAGAGGAGTCTATTGTCACAATAGAGGATGCAAGGAGAGTGATTTTTGATGCTCTTGAGATCTTGTTGGATTCTTCTTTATTAATGAGTATAGAGAAGGAAACATGTGTAAAATTGCATGACTTAGTTCGAGATGTAGCCTTGTGGATTGCAAAGAAGCAAGGTCAGGTGATTTTGGTGGACAGCAGCGAAGTTTCAAACATTTTGCTTGGCAATCGCCAAAATTTGAAAGATATAAAAGCACTGTCATTATGGGATTTGGATGATAATTTTAAGCTCTTAGAGCAATTGCATTGTTCAACACTAGAGATTTTGCTACTTCAACCTGACGGGTTTATTGAAGATCTGAGAGCAATAAAAGCACTCAAAGTCTTGGCACTCATAGAATATGGCTTTGAATGGGGATTTAGGAAGGGATCATCTGTTTGTTCAATCCCACAATCAATTGTGTCTTTAACATATCTTCACACCTTATGTATTAGAGGGAAAAAGTTGGGTGATATCTCTCTATTGGGTGAACTCAAAACACTGGAGATTCTTGACTTACGTGGTTCTCTGTTTGATGAATTACCTGTTGGAATTGTAGATATGAAAATGTTGAAACTTTTGGACATATATGATTGTCGAATTGAGAAAAGTCCTATAGAAGTAATTGGTAGATGTGAGCAACTTGAAGAATTATATCTTTCGGAACACGAATCTGTCATCCCACATAATTTCTCTCTTTCAAGATTGAAGAGGTATGTTCTCTATGACTCCACATGTAGTATAATTCGTATACATGAATTTGACCCTGTTCTAGAACATCTGCATTGTCGTGGTGAAGACCCTTTTCAAGAATATCTGGATAGTTGTGGTGAAGCATTAAGAGCCTTATGCATACAAGACTTTAGAGTCTCTGCTTTGAATTCATCAATGAAAAATCTCATTCTTAGAGCAAATCACCTTTGGCTGGAAAATTGTGAATGGGATTATAAAGATATAAATCTTCAAATAAACCACTTAGGGGTATCATGTTGTCAAGAGAAAAAATTCATCATTGAGAAGCGTGATGTGAACATTCTTCAAACACAAGTATTCTCACGCTTGAGCACTTTAAGACTGTTTGAAATGAATAGTCTTGAACAAGTGTTTCAAGATTCATCTATTGGCTGCTCACTCCCAATGTTACAAGAGCTATGGATATGGAGTTGTCCTGAATTGAGAATTTGTATCTTCTCGCATGCCACCATTACGAGCCTGCCAAAGCTGAAAAAACTTCATATTGACAGCTGTGACAAAGTGAAATGGCTAGTGTCTTATTCCCTGGCTTCTTATTGTCCTTTACTGAAGGAAATAATTATAAGCAATTGCTCTCAATTTGAGAAGCTCATTGATGAAGAAGCTGCACATGGGGATCCACTACTTCATGATAAGCAATATTATCCATATGTAAGTATTATTCGCAAAATTCCTTTTAAATCACTGCGTATTAGAAATAATAGTCCGTGTTGACACATTCGATGAAAAATATTTATCTTTTCATTTAATTTTTAAACTGAATTTTTTTTGGCTTTTATCTTTGGATACACATAAATTTGATATCCTTTTCTCAGTTATGTGAAATCAATACCTGTTTATTTTAACTCTTGTGCTGAAAACAAAACTAGGATCATGCAACTGCTAATAATTTCAGTTGTAGGTGATTTTTCTTTTTGCTCACTCTACCTTTTTTTTTTTTTCCGAGAACAAATTGAAGATATTCCTTTTTTCGTTTAATTTGAAAAATCTGTGCCTATGATCGAACAATATATATAAGCATAAAAAATATATATTCTCAATAACCAACAATAGTCATGTTATTTTTCTTTTTGTTTATTCTACCTCTACTTTCTTTTTAATTTAAAGATATATTTATGTTTTAAAAATATTCTTAGAAAGAGATAATAGTCATTTTATTTTTTACTTGAGTTCATTGTAACCATATAAGCCTCTTTTCATTATGAAGTTTTATGAGCTCCTTGTTTAGGCTACACGATAAAACTACTTTTTTGGGTTTTTCTTTATTTTCAAGATAATAGAATACTATTGCTTCTTCAAGCTTTGTATTTTTCATATTAATTGATATTAATTGTCTTTTGGCATCAAGTATTTATCGTGGGAAGTACTTATTCGGAGTTGTTCTATTTATAATAAATTGACATTGATGCATTTTCCATATATAAAATGTTCTTTCTTTCTTCGTTTGGATTTTTCTGCCATGCTTTTTTGTGGATGTGAAAAAACACTTTTTGACGATGCCTCTCTTGGTCTTAAACAATTGTATGTTTCTATTTCAATTTTTGGTCAAATAAATATTTGTGTTGGTCAAGAAATATATAATATGTCTACTTTTATATATATATCATTAATTAAATGTTATAACAGAGGTTGAATGTAATCATGTAGCAAAAAATATATAGAATATTCATTTGTTAGATACATGTTCAGATTATGTTAATTATCACCATTTAAAAAATACGTGAAATCAATTTCAAAATGAAAGTCAAGTGTTGTTTGTTATCATAAAATAGGTTTGTAAGTCACAATTTCTATCACCATCTATATATTAATTGTGGAAAGTAATTAAAGAAGCTAATATATTATAAATTAGTGTCGTTTCTTTCTTTATTTAAAGACTTTTACCTATATAAAAATGTTTGTATCATGAAATTCTATATCTTTGTACTGCTATATGAAATGAAATGATATAGGATACATACATGATCATACATTGTTGGAGAATTTTGCATAATGGATATAAAGAACTTGACATAAATATTGTTGTTTAACATTTATGTTATATACTAAAGATTAAAGGGAAGATTAAGGACTGAGTAGCAATAATAAATAAAAGTCCGGTGCCAAATTTTATATTAAATTAAAAGTATAGGGACCAAAAGATTAATTTTTTTAGATTTAAATACTAATTATGTTTTTAACCATAATACGCTACAACTTATATTTTTCTTTTTCTTTTTCGAGTATTACAAGAATTATTTACAAATTGTCTTTGTTAATTTTTCTTTTTTCTTTTTCGAGTATTACAAAAATTATTTACAAATTGTCTTTGTTATTTCTTTCAACACACGAATCTGATAAAAGCTTTAAAATGTTTTGTTCATTTTGATTTATTATCAAAAAATTGATCTCATTCTTCCGAACAGCACTTTAAATTCTTTGTTTTATATTTTTGTCAATAAAATAATTATTTAGGATACCACACTTTAAGATAAATGTTTTTCTTAAATTTTCTTTTGATATTTAAGAAGATCTCTCTTACCGTGCCTCTTTTATTGCTATTAAAATTTTTATATTTTCATTTCAAGTTTTGGTAATAAAAAAAAGTCCTGATTGTTACTATATATATTTGCCCAGTTGTTAAAAAGGATTATTTACTAGCAATAGTTGGCAATAATTAATATATAATATAAGAAACTTACTGGGTTTAATCTCCAGTCTAGTTAGAGTAAAAAGCAAGTTGTTTTTGTACAGCCATACGCGATCGTGGGGGCTTGATGTAAGGTTGCTTTTGTTATTTAAAAAAAAAAAAGCAAGTTGTTATAATCAGTCCATTTCATAATTTTAATTTTAATACATTTACAGGGAAAGGAAACTGACAGTGCTTATGTGGGGGTTATAGCGAAAAGATTCAATCAGTTGCAAAATGAGCAATCCTTGATCCTTTTTCTAAGGTTGGAAAGTCTACAAATTAAAAGCAGTGGAAAAAAGAAAGGTATATTGGAAATCCAAGACAGAGGAAGAGTAGAAGATGATGATGAATCTATTAAAGCCCAAGAACCTCTAAAGCTGGATTCAGAGTTGAGTGAATTAGTACTATGTAGTCTACCAGAATTGGAATATATTTGGAAGGGCCCCACCCAAATTGTGAGCCTCCATAGACTTGAATTTGTTTTATTGGACAGCTGCCCAAAATTAAAAAGTATCTTCACTCCTGCTATTGTTGCAAGCCTTCCAGAGTGGAGATATCTTCAAGTATATAATTGCGAGGAATTGGAGGGAATATTTTGTGAAGAATCACTCAAAAACCTCTCTTCTTCTAATATTTGCTTCCCCAAACTCATATCGATTGACATAGGTAATTGCAACAAAGTCAGATGGTTGTTATCTTATTCTCTGGCATTTCATTGTCCTTCACTAGACGGTATATTCATAAAAAGTTGCTCTGAGTTTGAGGGGGTTATTGGTGAGGAAGCTGCACATGGGGATCCACTACTTCATGATATGCAAGATCATCCACAGGTAAGTCTCATCCGCAATGTCTCTCTCTGTTTTTTTTTTTGACCAGCAAATCCGCAATGTCTCTCTTGAATCATTGCATATTAGAAATAATAATAATCCATATATATATGTTGACGCATTTGCTAAAGTAGCCATGTTCAATTTACATCTCCCTTTTATTTGAAAATTTTTTGTTTGCTATCATATAATATATATATATATATTTGTATAATCATTAAACATAACTTCTACAGTAATTATTTTATTTTTGACTTCACTTTATTATACCTGCATAAACCTCTTTTTATTATTAAATTTTTTTGGCTATATATTCAGGCTGCACGATGAAACTATTTTCTGAGTTTTCCTTATTTTCATAATAATAAAATATTATTTCCTTTTTTTTAAATAACAACTTTTATTTGTCAGAATTTTACATTTCCTATTCTGCATTTTGGTCAAGTAAGTGACTTTTTCATATTGCTTTTGCTATTAGGTATTTATTGTGGGAAGTGATTATTCAAAGTTATTTTTATTCAAAAATAAATTAGTGTTGATGCATTATATAAAAACTACACATACTTCTTTTTTTTTTACCGGAAAAACTACACATACTTTAAGAGAAGTATTTTTCCCTTTCAAATTTTTTCGCCATGCTTTTCTTTTCTTTTTTATGTGAGAAAATACCTTTTTGTGACTCTTTCTTTTTCTGCTAAAAATTAAGTTAACATTAGTATTTTTGTTCAAATAATTCTTTGTCGGTCAAGAAATATTTAATATGTGTACTTCTTGTTAAAAAAAGATATATATATTATTTATTAAATGTGATATAGTTGTTATAATAGAGAATTAACATAATCATGTAGTAAAAAGTATTTACAACATTTGCCGGTCACACATTTTCCATGTTACTACAAAAATTGATTGAGTCTGGTAAAACGCATGTTGAGATTATGTTAACACAATTTTAGAAGTACATTATTTTTATTTTGCCATTAAATGATCAATTCGGAAAATACTTATAATGGCCAGCATAATATAAATTAGTGTCTGCAGAAGTTCTCACTAGAGATTTCAAACATTTTGATAAAACTTTTCTTACGCTCACCTGCCTCTTTTTTCATAGAATTTCTATTTAGCATTTACATTGTAATACTAAAGATTAAACTGCTCAAATTTTTCTTTTTCTTTTTTCAGCACTACAAATTATTAGTTGCAAGCTGTATTTTTTAATTTATCTTTCCACATATGAATTTGATAAAAATTTTAATCTCTTCAGTTCATTTTAATTTTTTGTCAAATAATTAATTTTATTTTTCCAAACAACACTTTCTATTTTTTATTTTTTATTTTGTCAAGCGAATAATTATGTGGGACTGTATTTTATTTAGAATAAGTTGGAGTTGATATAATATCTATAAATTACCAATTTGTTAAATTTTCTGTGGACGTTAAAATTTTAATGTTACAGTGCCATTAAATTTATGTGGTTTATGTGTGTGTATACATAGTTCATATATTGAATTTTCATCTAATCATTGAATATTTTTACTTCACAGAAACATGACAATGACACAGTGAGGGTGGTAAAGTCAGAATTGCGTGTTATATGGTTAGAAGATCTACCAAAATTAGAATATATTTGGAAAGATCCCATACAAATTTTGAGCTTCCATAGACTTGAAAGCATTAAACTGTTGGAATGCCCGAGATTAAGAAATATATTCACTGTTGCTATTGTCACAAGCCTTCCAGAGTTGAGGCAACTTGATGTAAGAGGATGCAATGAATGGGAGGGAATATTTTGTGAAGAGTCACTTAAGAATCTGTCTACTTCTTCCACTATTTGCTTCCCCAAACTTGAGAGCATTCTTACAAGGAATTGCCACAAAGTGAGAAGGGTGTTCTCATATTCTCTGGCATCTCATTGTCCTTCATTGAAGAGAATAACTGTAGAGAATTGTTATGAACTGGAGGGGGTTGTTGTTGAAGCTTATGAAGGTGAAGTAGCTGCTCATCATCATCAAAGGCTGTTTCCTAAACTGAGTGATTTGGAACTCATGAAGTTGCCAAAGTTGAGAGAGATTTATGAAGGTTATGAATTCAACCTCCTTTCTGGTACTATAACAATAGAAGATTGTCCAAACATATCAAAAATCTCAAAAGTCCCATTAGACAAGCCCTCGTCATCAGGTTCGTAGCTACACTCTTTCTTTCAAACTATTATCATATTTAATCAATGAAATAATTTTGTGCATTACAATTTCTATCGTTATATGGAAAAAAAAAGGTCTTTTATTAGAAGAAAAAAAATTCTATCTTAACACCCACACACACATCGCTCTATTTTTTTTTTATAATAAGAAATTGCAATCACTCCCAAAAAATTTTCGTGTCTATATAATGGTCGTTATGTCAAAATCATAATAATGTACTCGTACTAAATAAGTGACATGTTATGGTAATATTAGAAGTTGAATAATTATTTAGAACTAAACAATAATTAATTTCCACTATTTTCGCATTCGTAGTAACACATTTTTTCTCATCATTATAAGCATAATTAGCTGTAGTTTAGTACACATTATCCAAGGAAAATTTCAAAAATTGTGTATAATAAATAAGTTTATTGGTTTTTATTTTGTCTATGTTCCATTTTGATTAGACTGCTAATTAATTGTTTTTGTCTTTGGTCAGCCGTGGAGATCAAATTAGAAAGTTAGATAATGAAGGACTGATTTGAGCTTTGGATCTTCTAATGGTTTCTTTATCTGCATATGTGTTTTACTGAGTTTTATGTCTGTGAAAATGTGTTGAATTTGTATTATTGTGTTGAAAATAGATGAAAATGTAGATATAACTTTACTCTGAAGTTATGTGATTATATTCAACATTATACACAAAATACAATAATTGCGTGGCTCTTGTGTCCACTACTTATTTTGTTTCAAATATTGTATCAATCAATGATTTCTTATCTTATTCTTTATTTCAATTTCGTAATATAGTTATTATTATTTTAAAAAATATAATCACAGTTCTATATTCATTTTGATGTAGAAAAAATCATTCCAAAAGAGCTTTCTCAAATTAAAAAAGAAAAAAAAAAGGATAACATACTTTTAAATTGTAAACGAATCTGTTTCGAAGGTTCTAAACTTTATAATCCAGTCCATCAATTTGATGACTGTAAATAATTGTAAATTTTTCAACAATTGTCGACATTTTGTATAAAATTAAAACAATTTTCAAGAGAAAAATATCATTAAAGGGAACAATTATGTAAATTTTATGAATAAAAATTCAACATTAATAATATTAGATAAATTTAAAATACTTTTCATCAAAGACAAAAATTGAAAAATAAATAAGTTATCTGGTTGTAATGTAACTAATTTATGTCTTGCTAAACTATACTTTATTATCTTTTGTTTTAAGAAATTTCGAACACATCAGCTCGAGTTGTGAGCTCCGCCATTTATTTGATAACTCTAATTGTCATAATTTTCATTCATGCAACTTAATTTTAAAATATATTGTTAGGCAAGACATAAACTAGTTACATTACAACTAAATTATTGTATATATTTGGACATTTCAACAACGTATGTTATAATTTTCTTTTATGTTTCATTTATAAATATATGATATCTAATATTGTTAATTTGAGCATTATTAGATTCCATGATCAGATAGAATTAGATTATGTTGTAAAAACACAAGAATTAGATTACATCTAGCTTTCACAAGGAACAGTGATAAGTGATAACTATAAAAAGAATATAACAAAACTTCCTTGTGTTTAATTTAAAATAAAAATATCATTCATAGTCCACCTATTATAAACCAAAGTCCTGCTGTTTTCCCCCCTTTTATTCATCTATTAAAGTATACTTTAGCAAACATATATAAGAAACTAGGATTCTTTACATTCATGGATTGATACATTTGAAGAAAGTTCCATAAAAGAATGTAACTACAAATTAGAAATAGTCTTGAGAGTTTTTGAAAAGGTACTAAAGCTAGAAACACAAATGTTCTCTTTATTGAATCTACAGAGCATGAATCCAAATGCTTTATAATCCTAAGTGGGACCAAGTTAAAAAAAAAAAATCTAGGGATGATTGTGAAGAAAGAATATTACTCATCATATTTGCCATGACTTAAAGATTTATATATGTGTTTCTCATTCTCATGAATATCAAGTAGGTGGAAAAAACCTGTTGCGATTGAATGGCAAAGTATAGAACTCTTCATTTCTGCTATCTCCTTTAAACTTTCTGAACTTTGCCCACCACGTCATTCCTCTATCTTTCTTTGACTTTTCAACCTCGAGCATGTTGTCAAGGAACACTGTCACGATCAAAGCCACTGTGGCCAGTGATGAGAATATGGTGTTTATGAGTGCATTGAACTACAAAAATGACACATTGTCAAACATAAAAATGAGCTCTTGATGTTCGAAAATTTCAGCAACAATGCAGGGATGGTTTACTTCTATCTTAATCAATAATCTAAGCCTTTTAAGACAACTTTCCACTTAATCCCATCAAAGGGCTTGAAATTAAATGCTCTAAATTAATAGAAAATATCTATTATCCAAAGAGAATGAAGTACGGTGCAGTCAATATTATATTGAGACCAGTATAGATGCAAAAACAGCTCCAAACTTTCTAGCAGAAACAAACAGAACTTTAGTTTAGCTTGTGTAAAAAAACTATTTGCCTACTCTGCTTTCAGCTTTGTCATCATAACAGATAACAACCAACTTGTTAAGCTCATATCATCAGAAAAGATGGGTAAATGTGAATGCAACCATCAAAATTTTCCTTAAAAAATAAAGCTCCACTGCAAACAGTTAATGGCGTGCATCATCCTTATCCTAAAAAATAGCATAAGGATGTGTCGTTATACATTTCTTGCAATTATTCACAGGACAGCATCAATTAATATAAATCTAATATTGGAAAGAACACATTAACAACTGAAACCTATAAACTATTATTATATGTGTGTGTGTATATATATTAGAACTACTTTTTCATATATCATTACACTGAACTTTTTTTTTTTTTTTGGGGATCAAAAGTACTTCTGTTAGAGGTGCAAATCAAATATTCGCCGGACATTTAAAAGGCGCTTGTGATGATTCCAACTTCAAGTAATAACATCTTTTTTTTTGGGTCAGAAAAGGTATAATATCATTAAAACAAAACAGAACGACTTAAAGTTTAAAGGCAAAGAAAACAACAGAAACTCAAAAACCTAAAAAAGAGCAGAACAGGAACGCGAGAAACATCAAAAGACAACACTGAACTGGATCACTCCTATAGCAGCAGCCGAGAACAAACAGATCTGGTTCACTCCTATAGTAGCACCTGAGAATAAACCGTGAGAAAGAAGGGGAGACGATGAAAAATCTATCCAAGAACACGCTCCCTTAATGCACTTGAAGCTGCACACCAAAACAATCACAAAACCAGGCAAGCAAAGATGAGCACAAGTTAACCATCCTTCTAGAGGAGAAACGAACAAACAAAAGAAGAAATTATTGGGATTGAGGGGCATAAAACCCAACCATAGAGGCCACAAACCCATTACGAAACTCCTTAGGTCATCCAAAGAAGCTAAGTTGCAACAGAGGGCAACAAATTCCAAAAGGAACATGCTCTCATGAAAGAAGCTCCACCAATCACAGCCAAGCTGAGCAAAATCAACACAAAGAGCCAGAAGCTTTTTATCCTCTAGATTTCCAGTCAACCAATGACCAATCTCCAAAGCCAAAGCAGAAGCAAACCTCCCTCTTAAACCAGAACCATCAATCCTAGCAACTACTAACACTAAATTCTTAAAATCAAATACAGACTAATGACATCCAGGCAGCACCCATCTTAAATCATACTTAATTTTTAGTGGAGCCCTTTTGATTGCTATAAAGAAACTAAACTTCTGGACCTTCCCTTCGATAAAGATTGAAGCAAAGCAAACAAATGAGTTACCAATAAATCCCGAGATATCCTTGTCTTGAAAGGAAAACAAACTAAAGCTCCATATCACCTTTGAGAAAACTATGGCAAGCACTATCTCAAATAAAACCAACAATACAAACCAGCAGCAACAATCATTTTGAACAGAAACCAAGGTTTTCCTCATATTCCAAAACCACCAAGAAGCATAAATCAGACCAACCAGCACAACACGCACTTCATAACAAGCAATCAAACCATACGGCCAAAAGGAGTTCACAAAGAAACTATTCGAAGAAAGAGTATCACATCTTGTTACCTCACAAGGCCAAGGCAAAAGAATCCCACAGAACAGACTTACATCAAGAAGGCACTGGGAGATTAGCTTTAATTTGAGAATCATTGATCCATGGCTCAGATCTATTTTGAAGAAACAACTCATTTGCTTCCAACACATAGAACTCTCCTTCACCCATACTCCTCTGACCAAAATAGCTTCCAGATTTCACCATCTCTGGTGCTATTCCCATTGATTCCCAATTTGTGCTCGACCATTCCGTTTTTGTCTTCGCCATTCTTGTTGAGGCTCCTAGTCGTGCTGCCCACTGATCTTCCTCCTTCGAATCCCTAACCAAAAAAGCCTCAGAACTTGCCCTCATCTTCAGATCTAGCAAAATCTCCAACTCACACGCGCACACACACTAGGCTCACTCTCCCCCAGCGGCGACGCCGTTGGAAGTCGCTCACCTAGGGGTGGTTTGTGCTCTCACGGGAGGTGAGAATTTGCTCTCACGAGAGGATAGGTTTAATTTAAGTAATAACATCTAGTTGGATTAATTTTCTAGTTTTATATGCTAATTAATCCCTTTTTGTTGTAATTCTGATTGTGACTGATGCTTTTGAATTGCCATGCCAGAATATGAGTAGTAGATTTAGTAAGGTGATTAATTAGTTGTAAGTGTTAATAACCTAATTAGTTGGTGGATGCCCTTTATTTCTGTTTAGCGACTTGCCATTCTCTTATGAGATTTGCTTGGAACTTCCACTGAATCCTCTGTATCCATGAGGACTGAGGATATTGACACCAATGGAATAAGATCCAACACAATGGCTGAAAACTTCTTTTAGGGGTGTGACAACCGCTCTTTCAAAACCATTTTAGATTAAATCCAACAATTTATTTGGATGATTAACCATGATAGAAAAGAAGAAAACTTAAAATTTTAAAATCGCTA